GCCTGGGCTGGGGGGGGGAGGGCCAGCAGCGTGTGTGTGTGTGTGTGAGTGTGAGTGTGTGTGTGTGTGTGTGTGTGTGTGTGTGTGTGTGTGTTGGCGGGGGGCGGACCAGGCCGGGCGGCGCTCCCACTCCCTCCGCGGCTCCCAGTGAGAGCCAGGCTGACCGAGCCGGCTGGGCAGGCCGGGCGGCCGGGCAGCGGGGCGGGGCACTGGGGATGGATGGGGTGGGGGAGGGACAAGGGGGGGGCAGTTTCCGGGAGTAGCAGCCGCTGGCGCTGTCCCGGGGCCAGGCCCCCCCGACTCCGCCCGGGCAAACTCTTGACGTGGACCAGTTTCCCTCAGCCCGCTCTGCCCCAGCCCCCGTCCCCCCCCTCCCCAGCAGCTCCTGGTCCCTCCTTCCCAGCCCAGGGTCCCCAGCAGCTCCAGGGCTCCCTTCAACCCTGGGTCTCCCCATAGCCCCATACCAGGAGGGTGACTGATGCTGGGAGGAGCGGGAGGGAGCGATGAGGGTCACTGCGAAGTGGGGTTGCATGTGTACATGGGGAGCAACCCTATGAGCTGGGAGGAGGGCACTGGAAACTTCCGAGGGGCATTTGTGATCTGGGAGATAGTTGTGATCCTGGGGGCAGTTAGTGGTCCTGAGGGGCACTTGGTGACCTTGAGGGGGAGTTCATGTTCCTGGGGACAGGTGATGATTCTTGGGGGAGGGGGCATTTGGTGGTTCTGGTGGACAGTATTGATTTTGAGTAGAATTGGTGATCTTGAGGGGCATTTTTCATTTCAGGGGGACACAGTGATCCCAGGGGGGCAATTGGCAATACTGGCGGGCAGCATCCTGCAGGGGTATTTGGGGGAACTTGTTTATTCTGGGGGGGTAGTTGGTGAATCTGGGTTGGGCACTTAGGAATCTCTGAGGGGCACTTATGTTGGAGAAGCAATTATGGAGCTCTCCAGGGGTGCAGTTAGGACCCTAAAAGCAGGGGACTGAGAGCCTGCAGGGCAGTGGGAGTCTCGGCACGGACAGGAGCCGTGCGTGTGTATGGGGGAGGTGGTAGGGTTGGAGGCGTTAGGCGATCAGGGACCCCAGAGCTTGGAAGAGGGTGCCCCCGGGGCTGCGTTGTTAGTGGGGGGTGGGGAGTGGGAGAAGGACGCTCGCGGGCGGGGCAGGCGGCCGGCTGGGCGGGGTCGGGCGGGGCCGGGTCAGGGGGAGGTGAGCGCGCCGGACCGCCAGCCCTGAGGGGGGTTCCCGGAGAGTTCACGTCGGGCGCGCGCTTCGGCCCCGGGACAAGGAGTTGGTGGGGAGGACGGCAAGGAAAGGAGGCGGGGACTAGAGGAGGCAAAGCCCGAGCCGCAGGAATGTGCCGCGAGCGAGCGCGGAGCGGGAGCGCGCGTCGAGGGGTGGAGCCTCAGGAACCAGCCGGGGGGAGGAGGGGAGCGAGAGCTTCGGACCCGGGCTGCGAGCGCTGGGGGCGGGAGGATGTCTCCATCCTTCCTTCCCTATCCCTACTTAAGTCCTAGCTCTCTTTCTTCCCTCGGATTGGGTTGCAGGGAAAGTGTGGCTGCTAGGGAAGAGGAAGAGTGCATGCCCTGTCTCTTTTCTTGCCATCGCCTCCACCCTAGGCACGCGCGTGGGTGCAAATTACGGGCTTCCGTACAGTGGACTGGGATTCATGGGATGACCTTGCACGCGTGTTTATGTTTGCATATGCGTGCGGGCATGTGTGTGCATTGCCGAATATGTGCATATGCGTGCGTTCCAAGATGTGTGTAAGCATGGATCTATGCCTTCATGCGCGCGCGCTCGTGTGCGTGTATATATGTGTGTGTGCGTGTGTGCGCGCTTGACTCTTCGTTCGGCTCCAGCTCGGTGCCCGGCCCCCTCCGCTCTCCAAGCCCCACCCCCCTCCACCCCTCCGGGCTTCGCTTTTACAAAAGGTCTCCCCTGTGAGAGCAGCCTCGGCGCCCGCCCGGAGTGAGCGGGACCGCAGCTGCCGCGGCTTCCAGCCCCGCCCGGCCCCCCTCCCCCTTACTGGGGATCACCCCCCCCACCCACGCCTCCCCCCTATGCAGCCCGGCGACCGGCACTAGCACTCCCCCGCCTCCCTCCAGTAGCGGGGCGCTTGCTGGGGGAGGAGGGGGATTGCCCGCGGGTCCCCGGCACCCAACCTCCCCTTCCACCTCCTCCACCCCGTCCACCCCGGGGCCGCGATGTACGATTGCATGGAAACGTTTGCCGGGAGCCCCAGACGGCTGTACGGGGCGGTGGGGCCCGGGGCTGGCTTGCTGCGCAAAGCCAGCGGCAGCCCCTGCTTCGCCGGACTTGAGTCCTTTGCTTGGTCGCAGTCCGCCAGTCTACAATGTAGGTACCGCCTGGGACAGAGGTGTGGGGTGCAGGAGAGGTGGATACTGGCCCTTTAAATGTTTTTTTGGGGAGTGGACTTAAAATAGATGTCTTGACAAGGGCCCTTTAAATCCTTCAGTGTAGTAGAAAGGGGGATACTGGCTGTTTAAATGTGGGGGCCCCCAGAGATTTCTTTGGGTGTGTGCAGTTGGTGTATAGTAGGTGATTTCCATAGTGGGTGTATAAGCCGGAGTGTGTGGTTAGTGTCGCTTAGAAGTTTTTTGGGGGGAGGGGGGAGACCCTGGTGTTTATTTGTGTAATTTAGAAACCAGTCGACCCTGCTCTTGGAGATCCTGAACACTCAGCTCAGCTGAGGAGTGTCTAAAGTTTTAAGGTCCCTCAGTGGACCCTTGTGATTTGATATTGGAAATGTGGGTGACAGTTATTTGCAGTGTGTGTTTGTGACCTTGGGAGTGTGTGCGGTTGGTGTGGCTCACTCAGTATGTGCCTGGGTGGTGTGTATGTGTGTGTGTGTGTGTGTTTGTGTGTGTGTGTGTTAGTTTATTCCTGTATGTGTCTCTCTGCAGATTGCCTCCCAGCTCGCCCAATGGAGTGGGTTTTGCCTGTGTGGATGTTTGTGGCATGAGTCTGACGGAGTGTGTGACCCACAGTGGATGAGGGGGTGGGTGGTTTTGGAAAGTGATACGTGTGAGAGTGCATCCTGTCCCCCTCCCCTGTATGTGTAAAGGGATGGTTGTGTAGTACCGTGAGTGGGGAGTGAGCTGGGGGGAGGGGGGTAACCCTGGCCTGCTCCTTCCCACAACTTCAGGGGGGGGGACCCTGTAGGGGTGGGGGGGGGTGGGGTGCAGTGATGATGGGCACCGAGAGGGCAGAGTTTCCCTCTGGGTCTTTTCCATATACAAGTTTGAAGGAAGCACAGTCAGAAAGAAATGTGTGTGCGTTGGGGGTGGGAAGAAAGGCTAGTCACAGAGAGGGGAAATTTCTTCCTCAGTGGGGCCCCAGAATATCTATCCTGCCCTCCTCTGGTGAGGGGTGGGATAGATGGAGGACTCTCGGCTGGGGAGGGAAGACTGGGGCCCTGGAGTCCCCTTCTCCAGAGCTGTAATAAAAAGCTGGGACTGGGAGGCAGTAAAAATGAAGTCCAGATGAGAGGCAGCTTTGAAGAGTGGGCTGCAGAGCCTGGAGGAGGGGGTGGGCCAATTGGAAGGGGGGGCTCAGAGGGAGCTGGAGGCTGTGACCTGCCCCCCCCCCCCCCGCTATTCACAATTTCCATAATGCCCGGGTCCCTTTAGGGAGGGGGAGGAGGGTAAGGGTGATTGGGGATAGGGAATGGTGAGGATGGGGGCGGGAAGAGAGAAGGGAAAAGGGCAGGGCGGACTGGGGGCGCTGTGGGAGTGTGCGAGCCCGGTCACCGAGCCCAGAGCCCCCGCCAACGCGCCTCACTCCTTGGCACTCAGTAGTGCTGTTTACAAGTTCAGCCGTTTTCGGTTCCAGAGCAGAGCTGCTCAGATCTAATGGCTTGACTGAGAGGGGGGGGGGGGGGGGGGGGTGGAAATTAAGGGAATTAGATGGGAAGGGATTGGGGGGTAGGGGCTGAGAGAGGTTGGGTCTTGGCATTTCAGGGATGGTCGAGGGGAGGAGGGGTATGTCCCAAACCTTCCTGGGTTCTCAGCTGCCCCATCACTGCCTGGGAGAAGGGGACGGATGTACTTTTGGGCTGGGGGTAGGGAGGTCAGGAGGGGTATTCCAGGAACTAGTTTTGTGGAGTTAGGTAAGGCCTTTCTGTCATTTCAAGCAGGCACCAAGCTGCCCCTAGGCATTGACTGACCACTTCCTCTCTTCACCATTGTCATGGGGGCGGTGCTGGCTCTTTGCTGTTTACCCCCTAACAGCCCAGGGTCCATCTGGCAGTGGGTGCCAAGCAGTTAAGGAGGGCTAAGGAACCTGGTTGGACAGCTAGGAAGAGGGCTGAGTTCCAGGACTTACTGGGTCTTTGGGGGTACTTGTTGGCTGTCTTAGGAATGGGTGTGTATGTTGTTAGCATGCCACTGTGTTGCCTGTGAGTGTATTTTGAGTCTCTCTTTTGTCTTTTTGTGGGTCTTTCTGGGCTGGGGGTATGGGGAGCCAGGTGGGGGTGGGTGGGTGTGTGTGTGTGTGTGTGTGTGTGTGTGTGTGTCTCAGAGCCTCTGTGTGTCTGACTGGGAGGAGGTGTGGGTCTGCTCCAGAGCCTGGGGCTTCGGAGTGCCCTGGGCCTCGCAGCTGGGAGCATTTACAGCGGGTTATAAAGAGTTTGTTTGAAGCTCTCAACTGGCTGGCCAGGAATTTCCTCAATTTCAGCAATTTGGACTTTAAAAGGCAAAAAACCCAGAGCCCACCAACTCCTCTTCCCCAAAAGAGGCCCCCCTGATTCTGCCCCAGCCAAGCCTTTCGTGCCTAGGGGGCCCTTGCTGGGGACAGGGCTGGGTCCAACATTGGTTAGGGTCTCTGGAGCAACTTCCCCTCCCCAAATGGGTTCCTGCAATCACTAGCTTGTACTTTAGGGTTTGGAGTTTGGGGTGGGGGGAGTAGGGGAGGGTTGTTACAAGGGTACTCAGGCAGGTGTGATGGCATCACCCAAAGTAGAAAAACTGCCCCCTAGGCCTGTCTCCTCGAACCCCCCTGCTTTGTGGATTGGCTGGCACTGCCCCATGCCGGCTTGGCCCCACCCGGGGCCCTTTCGCAAGAGAGGAAATGAGGCAGCTCTCTGAGGGCAAGGAAGGCGTCAATGCCCGAGGTGAGCACCCAAACCCATTCATAGCCCAGTGGGCCCAGTTCATCCAGAGTAAAGTGTGGTGGGGAAGATGGGCCTGGGGAAAGAATTTGGCAGTCCATCCCCCTCCAAGATTCTTAGCAGCAGCTACAGTCCCAGCCCTCAGTTTTGAATAGAACTCAGGCATCCTCCTCCCCATCTGGATTCTTATGTAAATGGGGGGGGGGGTCAGGTCTCCCTTCCCCCATACCACCCTCAGGGTGGGTGGAGCCAGGCTGAAACCCAGTAATTTGGCTCTTAGATGTTCTTTTCATGCTTACCCCTCCCTTATTGGATTGGGGACCAATCCCAGATGGGCCCCAGTGGGCTAATGCATCTTGGGTTCCTTCATTCACTGACAAAGCAGGGTTCTGGGTAATTCTTGCTCTAATTGTGAGACTCCCTCAGATCAGCCTGAGCTACCTAACGCTTGGGAATGGGCACACACACATACACACATACACACCCCAAATATAAAAAGCAGTCTTGTCTCCCTCAGATTAATTACTACGGGTGTAGAAGTGAGTAGTGTCTTCTCACCCATTGTGAAGTGGGTTTGCCCCCACTTTGGGAGCCTTGTTTGGGTGTTTTTGAGTTCAGCAACTCTGTAGTGTAATCAGGAGTGGAGAAGCGTGGAAACAAACTGTTCAAAGAGTCCTTCCTCCCTCATTACCCTTCCTTGCATGCTGCTGCATGCCTTCCCAGGCACGTATGCCCCACAGACTCCCAAACATGCTTCTGTGTACATGCCCCCCTTGTCTCTACTCTCCCTGGGCCCCATTTTCAGCATCCCACCTTTTCAGGCTTCTCCTCCTCTGAACTCTAGCCCCAGGCTTGGAACAGTGTCTAGAGTGTCATTGCACATAGTAGGTACTTACTCATGCTTGGTGGGGATTAAAGAAGACTTATCGTCTCAGATCCACTGCCAGCTGACTGTGTGTTGTTGGTCAAGCCTTTCATTTACTTGGGCCTCAGTTTCCTCATCTGTAAAATAACAGATTTTTCCAGTTTATATTGCTATGATTATATATGCTTTTTTTTTTTTTGGTGGGGGAGAGGGGTGTGCAATATAGCCAGGAGATAAGCTTGGGCACTTGAGTTGCATTCACCAAGGATGACCTCTCTGCCCCTCCTAACCCCAGATAGATTTAGGGCAAGGACACTGAGAAATTAAGGAATAGGGGCATGTTATTAAAGCATTTCCTGAGGGGAAAAGGATAACTTCCTATCCTATTATGTTTTGGAAAAAAGGAGGCCTAGCATTCCAGGCTCTCCATAAGACTCCAGCTCCCCACTTATCCATTGCTCTCCCAGAGGCCCCAAGAAGGGGGCCATTAGAAGATGAGGATGTATTAATCCTGGGTAGAGAAAAAGGTGAAAGAACCTTGGCGAGTGCAAAAGTTTGACACCTAGAACCCTGCTTTTTTGATAGAGTCCTAGAACCTTGGGCTTTTAGATTATCTTGTCCAAATGGGTCATTTTACAGATGAGGAAACTGAGAGGTTAACCTCTCAGGTTGGGCTTGAATCTCTTTGGATTTGGGGGGGTTAGGGTCTGTTTTTGAAGAGCTGAAGGTGAGGCTGGCTTTATTGTCGGGTTGTTGATGGGTGGGTGTTTATTGTATGCATGTGGGGAAATGGGGGGAGGCCGCTTGTTTATAGTAAAGTTGTATATGTGTCGATGGGAGGGAGCCTGAAGTTTGCTACCGGAAGGTCCTTTGCATGGCTGTGTTATCCTGGGTTGTTGTTGCTAGAAGACTGGAGGAATAAGCACAAGAAAGGGTGTTGTGGGGGGGGGGCACTTCAGTTAATTCCACGTTGCTCCTTCCCCTCCCAGCGGTAGAGACCCAGAGCACAAGCTCCGAGGAAATGGTGCCCAGCTCACCCTCACCCCCTCCACCTCCCAGAGTCTATAAACCATGCTTCGTCTGCAACGACAAGTCCTCTGGCTATCACTATGGAGTCAGCTCCTGTGAGGGGTGCAAGGTGTGTGGTGGGAAAGTCTAGACCCTGTTGAGCTGGGCTGAAGCGCTCTCCTTCACCCAGAGCAAGTTGGGGTGGGTCTAACATAAAGGGTGGGGGACCAAGATTAAGGATTGGGTAGATCAGTCAGTCAAGCATTTATTAAGCACCTACTGTGTGCCAAGCACCATGGTCAGTGCTGAGAATACAATAAAAAGGCCAAAAAGGGGGTGGGGGTGAGGTGAGAGAGTGGAAGTCCGGGGTAGGGTGGGGCAAAGAGGAGTGTTTTGGGTATACTACACTCTGTGTCTAGGCTGGAGGTTGGGAGAGAAGGGGCGAGGCTCTGGGTAGGTCGCTGTGACTGTGGGAGCCTGGAGCTCTAGGAATGTTGGCTTGACGACCGTCCCCCACCTTTTCCCCATCTTTTCCCCCATCCACTGCCAGGGCTTCTTCCGACGAAGCATCCAGAAGAACATGGTGTACACGTGTCACCGGGATAAGAACTGCATTATTAACAAGGTGACCCGAAACAGGTGCCAGTACTGCAGACTGCAGAAGTGTTTTGAAGTTGGGATGTCCAAGGAAGGTAGGCCGCCTGCCTGCCCAGGGGCTTGGACCTCCCAGACCACTCCTGGGAACACCCTATCTCGGCCAGGTCTCTGGGACTGGCCCCTACCTTACACCCTGAAACCCTCCCTTTTTCACCCCCCTCTTTGTGGGACTTCCCCCACTTACTACCACTGAAGACTACCCAGGAGGACCCTCCCACCCATCTTCAACCCTCTCTCCCTTCCCCCAATTCAGACCATTTCATGGGCCTTAACTCTTTGGTTTCCCACAAATAGGAATAGGGATTAGGGATCCCTTGCCCTCCTCCTATTGGAAAATCCAGGACTTATTAGAGGTTCCCCATTCTTCTTTAGCACGGATTTGGGGTGCTGGCTCCCTCTCCTTCACCCATCCCCCACTATTGTGCTGCCAGGGCTATAAGTAGATATCCTGCCGGCCTTGTATCCTGCCACCCCCACCCCCCACCCCCTCCCTGGCTCCCTCAGTAGCTCCCGCAGGGTGACAGGAAGGGCAGGATGGAGTCCTGCTGCCTGGAGAGAGAGGGAGCTTGGACTGCAGGCCCTGAGCCCGGGAAGGGAGACTAGGAGACCCAGTTAATGTGGGGAATGGACGGGCAAGAGGTGGGAATCAGTTTGAAGTACAGGAAAAAGGGGTGGGGATGGACCTGGGTGCCCTGACCTCTCTCCCTGTGCTTCTCTCTCTTTACTCCCTGCCCTGCCCCAAGCTGTCCGGAATGACCGAAACAAGAAGAAAAAGGAGGTCAAGGAAGAGGGTCCTCCTGACAGCTACGAGCTGAGCCCCCAGCTGGAGGAGCTGATTGCTAAGGTCAGCAAGGCCCATCAAGAGACCTTCCCCTCCTTGTGCCAGCTGGGCAAGTATACCACGGTGAGTGGGCACAGCAGGTGAGGGGGCAGGGATTGAGGGAGACATCAGAGTGGGCACTGGGAGGAGGGGATAGGCTCCTAGAGATACTGAGAGGGAAGAGGAGCAGGAGAGGTTGGGAAGATGATGAAGAAGATACACTGACTTGGTTTCTCAGGGGGCCCCTTTAGGGATGGGGAATAGTCAGTAGAGGCAATCAGGGTTAAGTGACTTGCCCAGGGTCACCTAGCTAGTGTCTGAGGCCAGATTTGAACTTGGATCCTCCTGACCCCAGGGCTGGTGTTCTATCCATTGCACCATCTAGCTATTCCTCAATAAACATTTATTAAGTACCAACTGGGATAGGAATTTGAGAGTAGGTCACATTGGCCCTTGACTCTGTAACTCCCCAATTCCCATCCCTAGAACTCAAGTGCAGATCACCGGGTGCAACTGGACCTAGGCCTGTGGGACAAATTCAGCGAATTGGCCACCAAGTGCATCATCAAAATCGTGGAGTTTGCCAAGAGGCTTCCAGGTTTCACAGGACTCAGCATCGCCGACCAGATCACCCTCCTCAAAGCAGCCTGCCTGGACATCCTGGTGAGAGCCAGGGAACCCTAGCAACCACCTAAGAACACTTTCTTTACGTCATACCTACCTTGCCTTACACCCCCCCTCCCTCAAGACCTCCCACATCTCAAAAACTTCCCACACTCTAGAAATCATTTCCCCCAGGGGAGATCCTTCATCTGGACCCAGCTAGGCCCCTGAGACCCCTCTCATCCAAAGCCAATCCCCTGCCTCCCTCAGCTCAAGGCTTCCAAGATTTCTTTTGTTGGATTTCTTCCATTTCCTTTCCAATATTCCCCAGGTCTTCTCCTGTCACTGCCCACCCGAGCAGCCCAGCATGTGTGGTGTAGGAGAAAGGACACTGTCCTTGGAGTCAGGAGAACTAGGTTTGAATTCTGGTCTCTGTGAGCCTTATCAGTGAAATGAAAATAATGCCACACATAATCATCTAGCAATCTGTCTCACAGCTTTTTGTAAAACCTAAAAGTGCTGTGTGTTTGTGTTCTGATTGCTCCAGAAATCCTTGAACTCAGGTTTCTGAACTCCCTTCCCCCCACCCCAGCTCCTTAAGACTGACCACAAGGATATTCTCTTCTCATGCTAGCACCAGACATCCATCTCTTTCCCTAGGACTGATTGCTGACCAGTAGACAAACCCTTTCACCTCAAGCCTTCTTAGAAATGACTTTCCAGCCTTCCTTTTTTTAATCTTCCTTGTCCTCCTACTTATACTCACTTTTGGGGCTTAATTCTTTTTGTTTGTTTGTTTTTTGTTTTTTTGCTTTTTTTGGTGAAGCAATCGGGGTTATGTGACTTGGCCAGGATCACACAGCTAGTAAGTGTCAAGTGTCTGAGGCCAGATTTGAACTCGGGTCCTCCTGACTCCAAGGCTGGAGCTCTATTTACTGTGCCACCTAGCTGCCCCTTTGGGGCTTATTCCTAAAGTCAGTGTGTTGTTCATGGTACATCCACTGTCCCTGACACTCTCCCTCTGCCGGCCCCACCCTGGATGCCATGCCTTGGTTCGCCCTTTTCACTCCCTTCCTTGAAAGGCCATTCTTCTCATTCCTCACTCTCCCTGAGCCGTCTCCCAGCCCCAGATCTCCTCTTTGTCTACCAAGGCAGTGTCATAGAGCCTCCTCCCATTCCCCAGTTAGGCCACGACCACTCCTGACTATCCCCCCACCTTGTGTCTTTCCTTACTCCTCTCCTTCCCCGCCAGATGCTTCGGATCTGCACTCGATACACCCCAGAGCAGGACACAATGACTTTTTCTGATGGGCTGACCCTAAATCGGACGCAGATGCACAACGCTGGCTTTGGGCCTCTCACAGACTTGGTCTTTGCCTTTGCTGGGCAGCTGTTGCCTCTTGAGATGGATGACACGGAGACTGGACTGCTCAGTGCCATTTGCCTCATCTGTGGAGGTACTCCACGTCCCTTGGTATCTGCTGATCCTCCCTTAGCCTTTTTCTTCCTGATACTCCAATCCGTCCAGACCCCACGGGTCCAGTTTATCTCTAAAACAGCTACTTCTGGGAGAGACTACCTTAGCCCTTTTTTTCTTATTTCTATTTCTTTTTTTTTTTATTTCTATCAGTTTGGATCACAAGCTTTTCTCTTCTTCCTACTCTAAGTGGGAATAATATGGGAAATTTCTGGCTCTACTCTAGGACACCCCCTGCCTAGTGGGGGTACCCCCTTCTTTGTGTCCCCATTCCTGTTGTCTCCAATCCTCCACTATTACTATGTCTTCTCCTGTGCCATCCCACAATCTTTCCACGTACCCATGCCTCTTCTTTCCCACTTCCCCAGACCGAATGGACCTAGAGGAACCAGAGAAAGTAGACAAATTGCAGGAGCCGCTCTTGGAGGCTCTGAGGTTGTATGCAAGGCGGCGTCGGCCCAGCCAGCCCTACATGTTCCCAAGAATGCTCATGAAGATCACTGACCTTCGAGGCATCAGTACCAAGGGTCAGCCTGGAAGGGGCAAGGGCGTGATAGTGGGAGGAGTGAATTGGGGAGAAAGCCTGGGTCCACCTGGGAACCACATTTCCTACACACCCAGCTTCTGCCCTAGAACTCTGTCCTTGGTTGGGGGAGAGAGGGAGGAGAAGGAATCCCAGAGGAGGCCTGTTCTCTGGGAGTACCCAGGCTCATGGGGGGAAATGGGACAGACTTCTGTACTAGCTGCGTGATCCTGGGTAAGTCACTTAGCCTCTGCCTGCCTTAGTTTACTCATCAGTAAAATGGGGATAATAGTACCTACTTCCCAGGGTCATTGTAAGGATCAAACGAGATAAGATTTGTAAAGCCTGTTGCAAACTTTAAAGTGCTATATAAATGCTAGCTGCTATTACTACTACTATTACTAGTACTACTGCTGCTGCTGCTACTACCGTCATCATCACCACCACCACCACCACTAGTACTACTACTACTACTACTGCAACTACTGCTATTATCACCGCCGCTACCACCACCACCACTCCTACTACTACCACCACCACCACCACCACCACTCTTACTACTACTACTACTACTACTACGGCATAGTGATAACTCACTTTAAAAAAAAAAATCTTTCCTCATAAGCCACCATGTGAAGCAGGTGCATTTGAGAAAACTGAGTCTTAGTAGAACCCAGTGTCAGTACCCAGGGTCACGTAACTAATATATGTTAATGCTTGCATTTGAACCCAGATCTTACTCCAAAGCAAATTCTTTTCACTATATACACCACATCCTAAGCACAAATGGGTTGACTTCCACATCAGCAATGGGGCTTATAGGATCAAAGTTAGGACTGGGGACAGTTTCTCTGAAAAGGCTTCCAGGAAGAAGGAAGAAGGAAATAGGCATTTATTAAGCACCTATTATATGTCAAGCCTTGTGCTCAGCATTTTACAAATATTCTCTTATTTGATCCTTAACAGTTCTGGGAGGTAGGGGCTATTATCCCCATTTTACAGTTGAGAAACTGAAGTTAAGTGATTTGCCCAGGGTCACACTGTTAGTAAGTGTGATTGCTGATCACTTTTTCCATGGGGTCCTCCTCTTCACAGGAGCAGAACGAGCTATCACCTTGAAAATGGAGATCCCAGGCCCAATGCCCCCCTTGATCCGGGAAATGCTGGAGAACCCCGAGATGTTTGAGGACGACTCCTCGCAGCCTGGCCCCCGACCAGAGCCCCCAAGCGAGGATGAGGGAATAGGGGGTGGGGGTGATGGGGACCTCAGCCCCGCCCCTGACCCAGACCCCTGACTTCCCCCTGCTGTGGTGGTGGTGGTAAGGGGTTATCAGATCCCTGGGTAGCAGACTGACCATCCCCACCAGTGACTGGGAGAGGACCCTATGTGCCCTCTCTTCACTCCCATTCCCCAAACCAGCACCAGTTTGAGCTCCTTGTTTTTGCCAAAGTTTTCTGGGCTATGTGTCCATCCTTTACCCTCACCAAGTCCTAACTGGCCTTCCTCCCCACAATTTTCTGGCTGGGACCCAATTCCTGTGCCTCCCTCCCCACCTTAGGGAGATCGAATGGGACGGGTGAGATGGGGTCTCAGCTATGAATCTAGGAGCTATCTCTTGGACATCAGATCCCTCAGTTCTCCAGCAGGGAGAAGGGGGACGACCTTTGTTGGTGCTGAGTAGGTGAGGACCTTGTCTCCCATCCCCCCCACCCCCACCCCCACCCACGTCAGAGGAGATCTCCAGGAATAATTAGGAACACTAGAGACCAAAGGGAGGAGCAGGGGGGCTGGGCCAGCTGCCTCCACCCCCTTGTGACCGCTGTGCAATGCCCCCTGCCTGACACATAACTGCCCTCTGCCTCCCTGTGTGCCAGGCTCAGGGTAGGGGGTAGCTGGTCCCCCCCAGTCCTATGGGGGCAGTGAAGGGGGCAGATGCAGGCCCGTTCTGCACCTCTTTGCTGATGGCTCCAGCGTGTACTCCCCCTTTCCCCGGCTTCCCCCATAAAAAGGGGAAGTGCCCTCCGTTAAGAATCCCCCAGCCCTACTATGTGCCTTGGGTGCCCCCCGCCCCCCATCTCAGCCATCGGGGCGGAACCCTTCTACACTACAGAGGGGCCTGGGGAGCCCCTCCCTCTCCACCCCTAGTGCCTTCCCCCCACAATACCCCAGAGCAGCTCAGCCCAGGGAGGGGAGGGCTGCTTAGCTGATCCCGACCCTACCCAGAGGAAGCCTCTTATTTATTTATTAGCTTTTGTTTACACCCTGGAATTACCCCCCATCCCCCTGGGGGTTCTGGGGGTGGAGCCCAGGGCCCCTTCTGATTCCCAACCCCTGGTTTGTATTTAGCTGCCAAATAAAGTTCCCACTGGCCCCCCTTTTTCTCTGGGGGGGCTGGGTGCTGTCCCCTCCCCCCCTTTGTTTACATCCCCCTTCCTCCCGCTGTATCGCATATTGCTGAGTTTTCTATTTTTGCAAAATAAAGTGATGGAAACTCAATGGGATCTGACGTCATCCTGATGGGGAAGCGGGAGTTGAGGAAGGCAAGTAAGGCTTTCCTGAAAGGCTAAGGTGAGGGCTTGTGGTCGAGCAGGTGTTCTTTCCCCTCCCACCCCCACCCACTCCCCAGGCGGATGGGTGAGAATACAGCCAACAGGAATGAGATCTGGAAACCAGAATTGGACTCTTGGCTGGGAAGGGGGAGGGATTGGTGTGTGATCCAGGTAGATCTACGCCAGTCCTACATGGACCTATATCTTCCGTGGCCACTAGAGGGTGGCAACATGTGGTTCACACAGCCTCTTCTTACAAAACATTTCTCAGACAACCCATTTCTTAAGATTCTTAGTGTCTTAGGTTTAGATCTGGAAGAGGCCTTTTGAGATCTTCAGGAGAAGAGAAAACAGGTCTGGGGAGAGGGGGATGGCTTGCCCAAAGTTATATGTCCGATAATTTGCACAGCTTGGATTGGACTATGGATCTCCTGACTTTGTCTCCTTCACTCCTTCCACCCATATTTCTCCACCTAGGTGCCTCCTCTTTGATGTCCCCCCCACAACACACACACACACATACTCACCTTAGACAGGATCTGTGTTTGATTTCCTGAAGTGAGGAATTGGGGGTAAGGGGCTGGATAGTCTCCAGACTTTTTCTTTTCAGAAAGGTCAGTGCTGGGAGTGGGGAGATACTGGAGAAAAGAGGCCACAGGTGGGAAGTGGGGGAGATAGGAACTAAGCAATCAAGATTTGGGAGAAAGTGGAAGCTGGAGAGGAAACCACCAAACTGGTTAGGGCCAGGGTGGACCACTAGGAGAACCAGCTGCCTCTGTCTTGGGAGGGTCAATAATTAGGGGGCAGGGCTGTTACTGTAGGTCCCAAGATAGCATCCTCGAATTAGAGCAGGCCACCCTTCTCTTCCTTCCAGGCTCACCTGGCTAGTCCTTGTTTCATAGTATCTATAGGATGGGAGAAGGGAAGGATTCAGGCAAGGAGTCACACCAACACATTTCCCATCCCTAATATTTGACCCCATACTCCACTAGGGTATTCTAGGGGACTCGGTGCCTGGATATTGCTTTCTACCACAGACAAAACACAGGTTTCTTTCTTAGTTTTTTTTTTTTTAAAGCTTTATTTTTTAATTTTATTTTTTGGGGAAGCAGTGGGGTTAAGTGACTTGCCCAGGGTCACACCAGCTCAGGCACACCAAGTGTCTGAGGTCAAATTTGAACTCATGTCCTCTGACTATATGGCCTGCCGCTCTATCCACTGTACCACCTAACTACCCCTGTGAAATCTCTCTTGGTTCTGGATCCTTCATACCCAAGGTCAGGCTTGAAATCCTCATTCCATCTATACCCCTTAGGGTAGATCTTTTCTCCCCATCTTGTGCCTGATCTCTTACTTTTTACTTTTCTTTACTTTTCTAATCTCTGGTCCCTACAGCCCTCTTCAGTTTCCACCTCCTGTCTTTGTCATCTTCCTGTTCTGTCTTTTCCAATTTTATCCTAGGTTTCTCCATCCACTGTACCTCCATCCCTCCTTACCCTCCCTCTACAATGACTCCCAATCAACATTATCACCCAATTTCTCCTTGGCCTTCCCATCTTTCTGCTTTCCCTCCCCCCCCCCCCCCCCCCCCCCCTGCCATCTTCTAGTCACCCCCCCTCCCCCCCACCCTGCACACACGCACACATTCCCCCCCCAGAAGTTCCCCCTTCAACTCTGGGCGTGTCACTTCCTCCCCAGTCTGCCCCTAGGCAGATGCAAATAGCACAAAGGCAGATAACTGCAAGAGAAAGCACTCTGCACCTGTGAGTATCGGACAACCCAATCCCTTTACCTGTAGCTCCCTCCAAGTTCAGACTCTGTCCTCCACATCTCCTAAGGGATAGGGAAAGTTTCTGAACCAGTGACCCCTAGGCTCCAGAGACTACTCCACATGAGGACTTCTGAGTGCCACAGCCAGGAAGGAGTGAGGGAAGGGAATTCTGGATTCCTGAGGCTTGCCTAGGTTTTAAGATGGCTATCTTGCTCCTGAAGAGAAGCTTAAGCCCTGACCCCATAACTCCCTGTACACTTACCTTTCTGATTTAATTTTTCTGGGGGGGGGAGGGGGGGGGGGGGGAGACAGGGGGGAGACAAAAGAATTAAAGAAGGGAGGGACTTCTGTGTGACCCGAAGCAAGTCACAACCCCAACTGCCTCACAAAAATTTTTTAAAAAAAGGGACTTCTTTAGCATCCTAAAGTTAATTGCAATTGTCCCTCCTTGGGTCCCAGCTCAGCACCTCTTGTTCCTAATAACTGTTTAACTCTCCTATTTCAGACTCCCAAATGAGCTCACATTCTCTAGGGAAAAGAGGGTAAACAGACTTGGGTGACCAATAGTCATTGTTTCCATGCTCTCCTAGTGTCCCTCTAAGGTACTAAGTCCCTATGATTGTGAACAGAGGGGTCAGTACTAAAGCAGGAAGGTAACTTGCGACAAGCGCATATATGTTCTAGGCTTTGTTTTTCTACCAGTGTGGGGAAAAAAGGAAATCACAAGAGGACTGTGTACTTTAGGGTAACTATGATTTAAGGTCCTGGAGTTAGGACCAGCAGAAATCAGAGAAATGGGAAGAGATTAGAGGAGAAAGAAAGGAAGACTAAGGGACACTCAAATGGGAAGAGAAAGCAAATGGAAGAGAGGAAATAGTAAAGAGAGAAATGGATGGAGCAAATTAGACTATGAAGGAAAGACATAACTTGGACTTTGATGATGGGGTTAGGATTGTGGGGAAGGACAGAGGAGGGAGCAGTAGAAGCAGGAAAAGAAGAGGGAAGGTTGATGGGGGGAGAGACCATTGTTACAGAGAGAAACAGTAAAAATGGGAAAAGGTGACAGAGTAAAAGGAAGAAGGAGTTGAGGGAAAAAGAGGGAGACGAGGGGCAGAGTTGGATGGAAGAGGAATTGGGGGATGAAGCTAAGTGGAAAGACCATGAATCCTCCAAATTGGGATAAGAGTAAGGGGCTGGATGAGGATTACAGACTGTTTTTGAGTTTGTCCCCCGGAGTTAGGGGTTCTAGAAGGGTGGAGGCCCTGAGCTTTGTAGGAAATGAGTCAGAGCCAGGAAAGGTGCTATCATTTCTCCCCCCACAAACACATACATTAACCACATAGAATTGAGGTTAGACTGAAGCTTATGCACTAGGCACCCAGAAGGGCATAGTAAAGGGGGGGTGGTACAGTACATTGCCTGAATCTAGAGGTTGGAGGGGGGGAATGGACAGAAAAAGGGGAACAACTCTATCTCCCTGCCTCTCTTTCTCCCCTTCCCCATACTCTCTGGCTCACTTAGCTCTGGGCCTGCAATAACCCCTGGAAGAAGTGTGCACAGATACCTTGTCTGCATTTATTTGTTCAGCAAGAAAAGTTCACCTGGCCCTCCAGAAACTATATTGGCTACAATCTTACATTCAGGTCAGATAACCCTTAAGACCTCCTCTGGGGTAGGAAGAAATATCTTCCTACTAACTCTAACCCTTTCCTTCTCCTACCCAAGATCTTTAGAAAGTCTAACCTATATTCTCATGTTCTGTTCAGTCCTCAGGAGTGTTCTTTTCTCTTTGTTTCTTCCATATACCATTCTTCCCAGTCACTCCTATCTGCCTTCCCTTCCTTTTCCACTAGCCTTCTCTTCTTCAATCCCAATACCTACATGTCTTTGACTATCCCTCATAACCGAATGTCACAGCTGGAAAGAGATCTTTCAGATTATCTAACCCTATCCTCTCATTTTCTACTAGACAGTAAGGAGGTTGGTTTGGAAATAGGTGATTTTCTGGTTCCTCTGGGCTCAGCACACATTGGTTGCTTAATAAATGTTTGACTTATCAATTGATTTGCAATGAGGCAAGTGGGGTCCAGAGAAGCCAATAATTTGCACAATTTCTCACAGCATAGCTGGCTCTGAACTCAGATCTTTGGACTCTGGATCTAATGCCCTTTCCATCATACCACACTCCCTTCTTGAATGCAGATCTGACTTTCAATTCTTTCACTTTTCTGAAGGTGGAAAACTAATCTCTTCTGCCTTTACTGTCTTGAGTTCAGGTCTTGGTTCCTCTCTTCCTCAGGATCTGTCTTCTCTCTGTGCCTCGGACCCCCTCCCCCTCCAAATCTTAGAGAACTACTGAGTCTATAGGGGGAAGTGAAACTCTTGGGGGTGTGGAGATAAGGAGATGGGGTGGGGTTTGGACAGGAGACCACACGCTAAGCTTAAAGACTGATGGGGAATAAGTTGACCCTCTGAACACCTTCAGCCCTTTCGTCTGCTTTCCATTGTAGGCTATGAGAGTTGGAGCTTTTGCAATATCCCTAGGGCTCCTGCTGGTTTTGTCCAGTGGCCAGAGGGAGCCAGATGCCAGGGTCCTATCTCCAGGTGAGACCCTGGAGGAAGACGATACTGATCTGTCACCTTCTGGGTCCTGTCAATCAGTCTCCTCCTGCAGGGAATGCATCCTTTCCCACCACAGCTGTGCCTGGTGCAAGCAACTGGTGAGGGGGAATTTTAGCCTGTGATTGGATGTGTCTGGGTCTGTGTATCGGGCAACTGAGTCTGTCTGTGTGTGTGTTGGGTGCTGTGGGGGCAGTGGGGGCCCGTCTTATCTTTTTGCGTGTCACCCTACGCTCTCTACAGGAAATTTGTGGGCCTGGACCCTGGGCGGTGGTTGGGAAGGGGCCATAGGATGGGGAGGGGAGGCCAGGGCTTGCATTGAGGAACTGGGGGGAGGAAGCTGCGAAGTCAGGCCAGGGAGAGAGTGCGGCTAAGGATTCACGGAGAAGGAGGGACGCCGGGGATGCTGGGTCGGAGCGGGGTCAGGGTGGGAAGCATGTGGATCCCTGACAGGCCCCTTCCCGGCCCGCAGAACTTCACCACCGTGGGGGAGGCGGAGGGGAGGCGGTGCGCCCGGCGAGAGGAGCTGCTGGCCCGGGGCTGCCCCTCCGAG